GCTAACACTGGTAAAAAGTTACATACTGAACCTTAAACCTCCTGAGACCCTAGCTTTGGCTTCATATGCATTTTTAATTTCTCCTTGTTATTTGGGATTAGTAGGACCTGATGACTATTTAAAAAAAAATAGCACTGTATTTACCAATTACCAGTAAGTTGTTTTTGAAAAAAAGATCATGATCAGGTCATGGGTTTATTTTTGATAGTTACAAGTATGTAACAAAGTATAAAATTGTTTATTTGAATGCCCAAAGTCCTTAAATGAGTACTTTTTAATTAACAGTGTCTAGGCTTTTTCACTATTGCTAAAATTGGTCACATTTTTATGCAGTTTCAAACTATAAACGTTATGTATTGAGTATTCATTCATTTTTTCGAACTGCTTTTCTTGTGAAGGGTCACGGGGGTGCTGGAGCCTATCCCAGCTCACATTGGGCGAGAGGCGGGGTACACCTTGGTCAGGCCACACATACAGACCGACAACCAGTCACGCTCACATTCACACCTACTGCCAATTTAAAGTCACCAATTTACCTAATGTGTATGTCTTTGGACCGTGGGAGGAAGCCGGAGTACCTGGAGGAAATCCACACTGACTCCAAGAGAACATGCAAACTCTGCACAGAAGGGCTCCCCCACCAGGTGAGGTGTCAGTGCTAACCACTACACCACCATGTCGTCCATTATTAATTGTAAATAAACAAATTTCAGTCATAAAATTTGATCAGGTTTTGTATCTTGTCCACTTTTGTCTTAGAATCGGCTGTAGTTTTACATGGATTAGCTACCACTGCTACCAGTAGATGGCACATAAAAGTGTCCAAAAATGAGGACAACAGGTCTTAAGGCCCTGACACACCAAGCCTGACGGTCAGCTATCAGTCAATGTCGAGCTATCAGTAAGCATCTGTCGTCTTGGGCGGTGCAGTATGTCCCACATCACTGCCCCTCCTCGGCCCCATCAGCTTTTTTCCCCCTGCTGATTCAACATGTTAACTCGGTGATGGCGACAGCAAAACAAATGTGTTACATAAGGTAAGATTATTTTTCTTTGGCCACTGAGCTCTTTACCAGTTTCCTGATGGTTTGTGCTGCTGATCACTGGTGCATGATAGATATGCTTTCTTCTTTCAACACTGCATTGTGTTGTTAATGTGCTAACTGGCTAACTAGCTTCAAGACGGTTTGCTGGTTTCCCTTTTTAAATGAAGATTGCAGACTTCCTCTGTCTGCTGGTGTGGAGAGTTATTTCATCTCATCCAGGCACAGACCATATGTGCTAGTTGGCCATCAGCTCTTTGAGGTGTTTCCATTTTCAACTTTGTGGCAGAGACAAGGAGACGTCAGGCAGTGCAGCAGGGGCTTTCATTGTCGCTAGTTCGTTGAGGTCAGTTGGTGTGTCTGGGCCTTAAGTTTAGCAGAATGAAGTCTAAGGAGTCCCAAACTGTAATGTCCTCATATGTGGACGCGGGGTCACAGGAGGTTAATGGATATCCTGTCAATAGGAAAAAGGAATCTTCTAGATGGCCAAACACATTGCCTCTGTGTCGGGTCGCTTCTGTGTCGCTTCTCTTAAATGGCATTTCACACGGCAGCAAATTCAGCGAAGGAACTACGCTACAAAGCATTTAGGATGAACTGAAGCCATTTAAGTCTCCATCTGTCCTTGTTTGGGCACAGCCAAGTGTGTGTGTGTGTGTTTTAAGCTTCACATATGTTTTGACTAAATGCTTATTAAGAGGGCTTGGGCCTTGGGATCCAGTCCTTGAGGTGAAAAAAAATCTTGCCTTCAGCAATGTTCTTGTGATGAATACTTGTATGAAGAGAATCACTCAAATTTACAGACAACAACAAAAATCTGACGTTCCCCTCTCTCTGGTTCTCTCTCAGCCCTTCTACAAACATGTACTCTGTCTCTGTTAAAAACAATTACTGTAGTCTTTTCAGTTTCACTTGGTCTCAGTTATTAATTATTTGCCTCTCTGATGTTAGGGGAGGATTGCTGGAGGACGATAAAAACAAATTCCTCATTCAAAAATTATCACTGCATGCATTCATATTATGAAAAATTCATCTAACACTTCTGGGGACTGTGGTGTGCACCCAGAAAAATATGTGGATGATAAAGCCATATTCTGTGACAGTGCAGCATACTGTATGTGACAATAACAGAGACTAGAGTGAAGCCAAGAACATGTGATGCCATGACCTTGTCTTTCTCCTTTGTCCTCTGAGTTTAACTTTATTTTTCTGACCCTGAGGATGTTTTATTCTTGTACAATTAAATTTGTATTGTTGTGTGTAGTTCAATTATTGATCTCTAGACATTCTTTGAGATGGTTAAAGGGGCATTTACATATTTACTGAATGGTAATAGAAGTTATTTCATAACCATCAGTTATTTTATCAGACATTGTGCAAGTGTGGTGTTTAGACCTGAGTTGACATGTATATTAAAAAACAACACTGAGCCCATTTATCATTTATATTATATTATTATATATTATATTTCAGTCATTTAGCTAAAGCACTCAGAGTGACTTTAACTGGGTGCGAAAGTTCAATACATACCCCAAACATGCAAGACTGCATATGTCTGTCATGGGATAATGACCGTTTTAAATCCTACACACTTATTTTCATCATTCTACTGTGGACATAAATACATTTTCTGTCATGTTCTGCCATTAACATGTCAAACTTCCCTTAACGCATAATCACATAAATAATCTACAGCAGAGGAAGGGCCTTGTTACGTTCCCCACATGAGCTATTATTTGTTTTATAGTCACACGTTGTGTTTTGCTATGTGTACTGTCTGACATTGGATGGTTATTTGACAGGCATTAACATTTATCTTTGTAGATTTTAAATTACAAGACTAACAAAACTAGGCACTATCAACTCTGTCAAAGGGTGCTGTGAAAAAAATTCAAACTTAAAAACATTTTCTTTCCTGTGCAAGTGTATGGTAACTCGCCAAAATTCAATATTCTTTGGTGCTCGGGCAGGAAGTGATGTGGGTATGTTTGCACGCACACAAATATTCCACTACTATTCTAGATATGAAAATATTCCTAATTTAAGACGAGTCATGTAAACGGCATATTCCATTTGAATATTCAGAATTAGGCCTTGATCTGAATGTAGCATTTTCTGATTATGACATGTGAGATATGCTGATATTACTGAAGGGTAGAGATACATGCCCAAAAGAAAAGCCCACATTTCTGGTCCAAAGGAGAAACACACTTACTGGTAAATATTCCATAAGCCTGCTACCAGTGAAAAACGTTTCTGTATTTTGACATGATAAACGACAGGTAAGGGCATGTTAATCAGAGCAAACACAGCTGTGTATAAATGGGAATATAAGTAGAATATTCATTTTCATTAGCCATGAAAACAGCTTAGTAGGATTGTTGTCTTTTTTTCTTTTTTTTTTAATAAGGGCAAAGCAATTTATAATCAAAATAATCAAAAATAATTTGTGCATGTAAAAGTTTTAATCTATAAATGGAGGCAAATGACTTAACACTAGAACCATTACCCATCATCCCCCAGGGCCTTTTTACCATCTCCAGGTAGGTTTGCTCTCCCGAGATGTGCAACCTGCTCCTGTCATTTATCTCACTACACAGCTGGGACCTGGATACACCTCCTGTAAACTAGCAGAGTCAGTTTCCTTTAACCTTTATTTATTCAAGAGGGGTTTGTGTGCTTGTTCATTTTTGGCATAGCAGTTGCAGGATCAGAGTTTTACTCGTCAACTTTCCCAGCCTTGTTTTTTTATAAGCATTGTCCTCCCTGCTGCATATTTATAATTACATGAATTCACACCTGACAACCTCAATCATCTTCGGTTTACCCACTGAGGAAGGTGCTTTCTCTTTCGCTTTGTGTAATCTCACATCACTGAAACTCATGTGTGACAATTTCAACTCAATGAGGGACAGTTTGCATCTGTATCCTTGCTGAGATTTTCCAGATTACTGCCTCTGTTTGATAGTTGTCAATTGTTAAATTTGTTAGATGATGATGTGAGGCAACATTTCTTATGATTAAGTAACTGTTTGCTGTGTAGGGGATGCTAGTACTCTGTCTCTCTCTGTTATTCCTTCATCAGAGTGGCACATGAAGTTGGTTCTGCTCTCTTTAACAGAACTGAAAAATCATTCTGTGTCACTTCCAACTATTACTTCAAATCAGCTCATCAAAAACACAACCACATTGTTTTTGTGTCTCACAATAATGGAGCAGCCCCGGGAAGTGAGGTGGAGGATACACTTTGATTTGAGGCTAACATCGGTTACATAAACATGAACACGAATGTGCACCTTTGAACCTTTGGCTCCAGTTAGCAGAAGGCTAAACTATTAGCAATATTTTCTCTCCATCTGTTAAACACTTCGCTGATATTGACGTTTTGTTTATTGTCAGACTCTTTTTGATAAATCTGTCTTTAATACAATTCCTTGCCATTGCCATTACAGTATGAACAGTTCATGTGCCTTACCCTGTTATGATGTAATAGTTCAAATCAAATAAGTCGTCTCTACAGTGTCAGATAGTGTTCAATGGGATTTGTAATTCTACACTGCAGTGAAAACAAAACAGACTTTGCCTTGCATCAGTCACAACTACTTAACTCTACTGCAGTTTCATAGTTCTGAACTACAAGAGTAACAACAAATTACATCCAAGTAAACTTTACAAAGAACAATGGGTGCTACTGTACTGGTGTATCAGTTTTGAACTTTACCTTTGCCTCCAGCCTTGTTCAATTAGAGCTCTTCTGTTGGCCTCTGAGTGCAGCCCAGAAAGCTTTCTCCATATTTATCCTAGTCTTAAAATGTCAACTTCCCACTTTGTTGCCAGAAATAAGAAAAAGAAAGTAAAATGACATTACAATGTCTTTCAGAATTACAGTATGACAAGTATGCCTTAATGCACCTGTGTGTCTGTGTGCTGCATGTGAAATTCACAAATCACAAAGCATATTATTCCACATACATTTATTTTAGTGCTACATCCCCACACCTGCTGTTTCTCCCAACAAGGAGTCACTGCAACATTTGAGGCCTTACAAAACAAATCAAAATGGACCTAAACGTTTACATCTGGATTCATATTAACATAAAACAAATTAAAACTGACTTATAGGGATAGTTCTGATTTTTTTTAAGTGGGGCCGTATGAGGTTTTTATCCATAGTCAGTGTATTACATAAACTAGATGTCAGCTTCCAGATGCTTCCAGTTTGGAGAAGTGCCAATAAGAAAAGCTAAGCAATGTATTGCTGTGGATGGAGACAACAGCAAAACATATTTTAGCCACCTAAAAAAATCAATCTAAGTTTAAGTGTACGCTATATTGAGAGTACTTTCACCTCTTTGCCTTTACATCAGACAGCCCGTTTCAACAGGGAAGCTGCTTAAAGTCTTAAGTTCCACATCTATGCTATCTTCAAAGCCACCACACACTGACAAAAAAGGTCTTTTTGGCTTGCTGAACACAGGAGCTGCTGGTCTACTGCTGATTCCATCAGTTAGTTAGCCTGTGTTATTGTGTGACTTTGGGGAATCCAAACTAACCTTTTTAAACACCAAAGTCACATAATAACACAAACAAACTAACTGATTGAGGCAGCAGTTGACCAGCAGCTCCTGTGTTCAGCAGTGTTAAATCACTGTTTTTCTCAATGAAGTCTGGCTTTGAAGAGAGCGCTATGAAGGCTTTATTTCCCCATCACACATCCCCATCTGACAGCAAGATAAGGCTGCAAAAAATTCTAAACATAACGTACACTTAAACTGGTATTGATTTTTTTAGGTGGCTAAAATACTTTTGCTGCTGCCCCAGTCCATAGCAGTGCATTTATCTTTACTGGTGGTACTACAGCCTACGTCTCCAAAGTGGTAAAGTGCCGACCACCATCTACTGTAGGTAATACAGTGGATGAGCACCTCATACAGGCCCACTTCAAAAGATCTGAAGTATCACTTTAAATGTTTACATCTGGATTCACATTCAAATAAAACAAATCAAAATGGACTTAATATTCACATCTGGATTTACATTCAAATAAAAAGAAAATAAAACTGACTTGAATTTTACATCTGGATTTAACAAAGTATCAGTAAAGGCTTTATTCAGGTAGGCTGGACTCGATATGAAGTTACATCCCCACCCATGATGCTCTGCTTCATACTCATACCTGATCCTTGATGGCGTCTGAATGTAGATCAGACAGCATACACTCGGGAGGTGGAGGAATATTTTAAATGTGTGGTGCAGTAACAGTTTATATATCTTTGTGTTTTGTCTATTTAACTTCTACATCTGAGAGATGTATTGACATAATGATAGGAGACTTGACATGTCTGAGTACATGATGTCACAATTCTGTGTTAAAGCATTACTGCAGTACAAAACAGCGATGCACTTGTGATTTCTTGTGACTTTTTGAACTGTCATCAATCCATAGTTTAGCTCAAATATGCAAAAGCAGTAACAATCTTACCCAAAATGTCAGATTTATGATAAAGTTACTCAAGTAACGTTATTATCTAATGTAGGGATGCAGTAATTGGGACATTCTGGGCCAATAATGATGTTTAAAATAACAATTTGTCAGATAGCCAATAGCAGTGTTTTCTTGTCATTGTTTATTTTGTTTTTGTTGTTATAATTCCCTCCTTTTGTGCCTACAATATAACCTTCTTTCACAAGACAATTATTTTTTTGTTTTTTTTCCAAACGCCTTTTCACTATACATAAAATATCAGAATTCCCTCTCTAATATCTATTTCATACTGCTGTGAAAATATCAACAAATTTCTCTTTCAAACAGCTGTGTATACTCAGGTTCCTTGCCAAAAAACAAACAAAAAAAAAAAGAAAAATACAAGATGACATTTGAACATATCATGAGAATGTTACATATTAGCTTCGCCAAACACTTATTCTTTTCTGAATAGAGCTTTAACGCATCATAATGCAACTCAGTGCAACCTCCGTGAGCTGTTCGTTGTGGTCACCGCTGATAACAGCTAATGCTAACTAGCTCTCCTCCTGCTAATTTTAACAAGGATTTGTTGTTTACAGTGTAGCAGGGTGCGTCCCAGGAACAGGAAAACATCAGCCACTGCCATCAGTGAATGCTAATAGGTGGTCAACAAGTGGAATATCTGGCGATACCGATGTTTGGCCAGTGAATCGATGCATCCCTACTTGTATGGTTAATTCTTTGAAATATTGGCCACTTTTTTTTTTTTTTTACAAACCCACAGTAAACCTGCCAGAATGACAGAACTCTCTCTGAAAAGCTGTCACATTGTTTTGCATCCCAGCCCAGAAGAAAACAAAGCTGATACTGCTGAGAATGTGTAACAGTGCAAAGAAAAAAACCACACACACAAAGAGAGCAATACCAGCCTGACTCTCCCAGTGGAGATGCAGCCTTGATGCCTCTCTCAAGTCTCTCACTATCAAGTCAATACAACCACTGTCCTAATGAGCAGGAGGAAAGGTGTCTGGGAAAGTGTTGCTCCCACAGACGACATGAGGAGAAGCGCTACTCCTTATATCCTAATCATGACCTGAGCTGTGCAGCTGCTTAACTAGAATGCACGTCAGAACCGATGATGATGAAACCACTCCCAGGTTCGCTTTTAACAGAGTAAACCCCAAGTGCTGCCAGATGGTTTCACAGATCAAAGCTATCGACATTTATAATAAAAAAAGATTGAAGTATGAAAAATCTATGTGCATATAGAAAGCAAAAGAAGTGCTTAAAAGTAAATGTGAAGGGGAATGTCTAAAAAGTGAGTTTAAAGTAATTGATTCTGACAGTTTTTGGCTGATCTTGGAGCTCAAGCCAATAAAACAAAAGATCCAAATTGAAGAGAAATGACAGACAAGAAGAGAGTTGAAGGTTATATGAGAATGAGGGCAGCTAGGGACAGAAACAAAGTTGTCCAGCACGAAACTTTGAAACTCAAAGAGGATGGTAATAAAAACAGTTACCCTAATTTGTAAAATTGTATTTGCTATAGATATCAGTACTCGATCAGTGCCTCTCTTTCTCTCGCATCTATCAACATCCTGAAATGTCTTTGGTTTTGTTGCGTCGTTGGAACCGTGTGTCAGCGGGATCAAAACCCTGTTCATCTGCTCCGAACAGAGCCCATCTGGGAGTCTTGGCCATGTAGTCCGAGGCTGAGAAGCTCTGCTTTCCCCCACTCTCCTCAAAAGCCTGGACCAGCTCCTGGAATCGCTCGTAGTCGATCCATGTCCACCACTCACCATCCACCTTGAACTGAGATCATGCAAAAAGAAGGGAGAAAGAAACAAGGGTGGTAGATGAGCGAGCAGCAGCTATCAAAGCGGTGTTTGCAGATGTATGTATGTATGTATGTTTAAACCTGCAGGATTCTGGCAGCCATTCATTAAGACTTTTTACGACATCTGTTATGATATCTGGAAAAATCTAATTTTCTAAATTTAAAACCAGAATTAACACCCCGTGGTTGTATACCTTGGTGCACCAGTCAATTTCTCTTACAGTTTACATCCAGGTCTGTGAAAACATGGATGCTTTACATACATCTTCCCCACCGGGAAACAGAAGATCTATACAGTCAGCAGAGTTACATGATTAATGGCACCAATTCAGTATCTGACCAAATGTTTCGCCTTCTGTTCCTGAGATATGACGTTGAGTAATGGCCAGAAAAGTGTTTTAAGCAGAGCATTATGATGTCACAGTGAAGTTAACCTTTGGACTTCTGGATATAAAATGTCATCACATCATCATTATATCTTAATAGACATTTGTGTGAAGTTTTGTCATAATTATTCTAGGAATTCTTGAGTTATGGCCAAAAGCATGTTTTATGAGGTCACACTGACCATGATCTTTAACCTTCAACCACCAAATTCTAATCAGCTTATTCTTCAGTCTCAGTGGATGTTCGTGTCAAATTTGAAGAAATTCCACTGAGGTCTTCTTGAGATATTGCGTTCATGAGAATGGGATAGATGCAAGGTCACAGTGACTTTGACCTTTGTCCCCTAAAACCTAATCAGTTCATAGTTGAGTCCAAGTTAACAAATACAGATGAGAGCGCAGCCCAAACCTGACAGCCTTTCTGATTTTTAAGTCTGAACCTGACCAGAGCCCGATGCAGTTTGTTACCTGACATAGTTACTGTTATGGACAGTGTGTAAATGACCATCAATAAACTGCAGTTACGCACAGTCAAACACGTCGCTGCCCAGCACAGCAAACACACTGAGTGGAACTTGTGTTGCATTCTGACTTGTCGGGCTCTGGTCGGGTATCCACACTCTGATACAGACTACCGCTTCCTGCTGGCATGGAGAGTTATTTCCTTTTACGTAAGCGCAGAACGTACGTGCTAGTTGGCTGCTCGGTACAGTCTTTTCAGTGTGTTCAAGTGCGACTTTTTGACGGAGACAAAAGTGACGTGAGGCATCAGTTGGCCTTCATTTCCACTAGTTCTTTGCTGTTGGTTTGGTGCGACTGGGCCTTAGCAGCAAATAAACCTAACAAACTACATTTTGGCATCTGTGATGCTCTAATCAGAGAGCTGCATCATTACCTCCATCTAATTACATGTACTCATCTGTTGTTGCATGGTGGGAAAATTAGATCTCTTAAACTGTCTCCGGAACATCATGATCATTTCACAGCCTGAAATTTAGATTATTCAATTTGCAAATGCTTGAATGGTCCTGCACATAAACTGTCAATCAAAATCTACAGAATATCAAATGTTCAAATAAAACCAAATTTATCTATATAGCATGTTTAAAAAGTACCAGAGTTGACCAAAGTGCTGTACCAGGTGAATGGCACACAAAAAGTAGTTGTAATTTAAATAACAATAACATCAATAAATAGCAGTACAAATTACAGAGCAACATTATATCTAAAAACCTTAAAAATCATAAAAGTGGAAATCTAGATTACATACATAAAAGATTACAAAATACTAAAATATTAAAACCACTAAGAGCAACCAAAGGCCATTGAAAACATGTATGTCTTAGGATTTGTCTTAAAAGACTCAATATAGGAAGAACATTTGATTGAAAGCGGCGAGCTATTTCAGAGCTTTGCAGCAGCCACCATAAAGGCACGATCTCTCTTACACACAGGCCTCATCGTGGGACAGTTAAAGGACATTGTTCTGTTATCTGTACAGTACAGTTCATACAAATGGATGCAAACCCATATGCTCAGACACAGAGAGAAACAAATGGACAACCACTGAGGGAGTTAACACTTTTCCACATGGAAGCATGTTGTGTATTGTGAATTTAAACAACAAAGAATTTAAAGATGTGATCAAAAAGACCAGCTGTGATTAAAGAGCTTGTTGCTCCACATCTGCCAGTTTTTGTTAGTTTAGCTTTTTTTTTAAATGGTTGCGGATTCACCAACTGCACCTCCTCCCTTCTGCTCTCATTTCTCTTTTTATCAATCACTACTTCTTGCTTCTTCACTCAACTCGCCATCCGTCTTACTAAAGAGAAAACAAGAGAGCGACAAGCTGAGAGGAGTGTGTGTGTGTGTGTGTGTGTGTTGATTTGTGAGAGACACACCACGGACCAGACAGAGAGAAAACAGCTCGAGTGCTTGACAGTGAGGGAAAAGCCTCCAACATCATTCTGCCTCTCTAATCCTGCTTGTTTTCCCAAGCCAGTGCGCAGGGTGAAGAGTATGACCTCTACTTTCCCAGCATGCAGCATAGCTGTACGGCTGATACAATATCACGTTTCCTTTGTTGTCTGCAAAGGTGGGAAAGACTGACAAGAAGGCATAACATACAACCCAACTTCTCCTCTAAAGTCTGTTTATGGCAGCAAATTCTGCTCTTTAAATTGCTCCTTGATGACTTTGACTCACTCGTGGGTTTTGTTTCGATAAGCTGTGACTGGATGCAAAACTGTGATAAGTTGTCCCTGGGGACGACTGTTGTGCTTTTAGCTCTCAGCGCTTAAAAGCTCTTTCGGGTTCGTGGCTGCTCTGGCCGGACCCCTGTGTGTGCACTGCAGCTCGCTTCTTTCAAATTTAAACCAAACAGCTTCTACATCTGTAATTCACACAACAGGAGGGAAAAAGGAGCCAGCGTTACATCACTGACTTCCTCAGAAAAACAGCAAAATGACAGAAAATGTACTCATGAAGGAGAAACATTTATTTGCTGAGTTAAAGACTTGCCTGCTGGAGCTGATGACCCATTGAGGAAGTTACAGCATTAAGTGTTTGAACGTTAGCCTTTAGAAGCCTTGCGCCTGCCTCTGTCATTAGAGAGAAGCTACCCACTGCATTGCTAATGAGGCCTGAGAAACAGGGGGAAATGAAAGCAGCACCTATTGGGAGTTAATGTTTCTGGTAATGAGAAGGGATGATATTTGTTCAGCCGGCATCTCGGCAAACAATTTCAGTCTCCAAGCAACAAAACAAAGCTTTGCTGTCTGAGATGGGAACAAGACGGCCTGTTGTTTTTACTAACAGAATCTTTGCTGAGGATCACTGAGGACAGCTTCTTCACTTAGCACCACAGGAGGTGTCGTCATGTATGTGCACATGCCAATGAGCTGCACAGTACTTTAATACACATTCACAGAGAACTTATGGAAGACCATCATATCTTTTCTCTGTCTTCAGAAAATTAAATTGCATGCTCTTTCTACTATAGAGATCTGCTCTGTATATGAGATTCGCTCAGCCGTTATAGTGAGAAATGTTCATATAAATATATTTATTTTTCTGTTTCATGATGGCACGCCCTGTCTGTGTCTGCTGTTGTTTTCATAGAAATACACTACATACATACATACATTTTTTCTTCACACTGCAACTCAAATTATTTTTAAGCCAATGCCGTCTTCTTATATTTAAGCAGGGAGGAACACATATTTTGTGTTGCATATTGGCTTGCTAAACCCAGGGTCCCCACACATTATTGCCAATCAAGTCTTTAAAACTTCTTCACAACTTTTGTATATCTGAACTCATTTCCATAACTTAAATAGTTGAAAGTAGCTCGCCTGGACACCTCTCTGACTACAAGCAATTTACAGAATGCTCAATTCCAAATGTGACGCAATTTGGGCATTTTGTTTCCCACACAGCTCTGAACAAGAGCTGCACTATTAAAGTGAGTCCATCATCTTCAATGCACACATCACTTCAGCTGATGACAGATTGCTGGACGCAGCAAGGAACTGGTTGCGTGTGGCTGAAGTTGTCTCGCAGCTATACCTGCTTGCTGTGCAGGTAGAAGGGTAACCAGACCAATGTCAAAGGATGAAAAGCCTTAAAGGTGCTATCTAGTTGTAATTACAAGTCAGTAGAGAATTTCAGACCGCTACAATTTCCTCCACTTGGAAAATGGCTGCAAAACTACAATAGGCAGCAGTTACAGCTAAATAAAACCAAATATAGTAGAGCGCATGCGCCCGCGCGTGCAGCCTGTTGCAGTCGCTCCTGCTTGTTTTCTCGGTTTTCTTACTTTTTTGCTTTATTAAGTTTGGTATTTGTGCTGGCTTTTTGTGATTGTAATTTTGGAACTGCGCCCTCTCAAAACATGCTGATTGAGAGAGTTGTACTCGTTTTCCTCACTCTGGAATTACTTATTTCATTCGGACCCGGCACCATTGCGCAACAACTTCATGGCCGCATTGTTTACTCCAGAGATCAGCTGATCGCGCTGAGGCCGGCCGGCTTGGCGGCCGGAACATCAGAGATACCAGCTGAACTGTGGAGGAAAACACACAGAGGATGCAGGGGAGGAAGTAAACAGCGGCGGAAAAAAGCAGGGTTGAGACAACGGAGGCTTATGGAGAAGAGAAGATATAAGCCGTGTCTCCCCTCTCTCATCATGGGCAACGTGAGGTCACTGGCAAATAAGATGGACGAGCTGACAGCGGTCGCCAAAAGTCAGAAGGAGTACCGGGAATGTAGTCTTATGTGCTTCACTGAGACATGGCTTCACCAGGACATTCCCGACACCAACGTCTCCATCAGCGGCTTTCAGACTGTTCGGGCCGACAGGGACTGCACCGAGAGCGGTAAGCGCAAAGGAGGGGGGCTTGCCGTTCTAGTAAATAACCGCTGGTGCAGTCCTGACCATATTTCCATTAAGGAACGTATCTGTTGCCCGGACATTGAACTGTTTGCTGTTGGACTCAGGCCGTATTATTTGCCCAGGGAGTTTTCACATGCCATTATTGTAACTGTTTACATCCCCCCCTCTGCCAACCCGACGTCGGCATGTGATGTCA